GATAAATGTTTTTTGATAGTGATGCCGCAGAGAGCGTTGCAATACACCTACTATTTGCCTTTTTGATAATATTAGTCATATTTTAACGTAGTGTGCTAAATGTAAGGTTTTTTTATTGTTGTTGTTGTTTATTCACTTGAGAACAAAAAAGGTCATTTTACTTCAATCCATCGATCACACAAAAAACTTTTTTTTTCATGTGTAAAACCAACTTTGAGAGTGTAAAACTACCTAACACACACAGAAGCTGCAGATCACTGGGAGGACGTGTAAATACAAGAAAATGTACTTCTGCTTTTAAGTGCCCTTTCCGGTTTAAAGAGCAAACGGTGCGAACTGTCAGGGGATGAAAGCGCTGACTCCCCCCTGCGTTTTTACACACGTCATCTGAGAACAACATCACCAAGATAAAGCTAAACTTGTAACACATTTGAGCACATTTCGCTCACACATTTACAAGTTCAAGTATACTTCTTTGTGCATGTAAACATCAAGTCCTGGTATCCCAGTTTGTCCCTACTACGTCCCCTAATCATCGCCTCTCCTCGGCCCGGCCCAGCGTCTACATGTGTGCCTTCTGGTGCCCGGGCTCGACCGAGACTTCATCCGTCTGTCATTATAGTGCAATGAAACCCCTCAAATACTCCAGAACTGTTGCCTTGTGAAACCTAGACATCACACAGCACCACAGTATTTATAAAACACACATACTCATTACACAGCCACGACGTATGGAAGCCCAATATGGCAGGAGAATGAGAAAAAAAAAAAACAGATTAAATGTAAGAATGGCACAAACACAGAGACTGAAAGTTTATTCTTGAATAAGAGAAGTCCTTAATGTAAATGTGAACATCTACAAGTCCATCTGTGGAGGAAGACTGTGTGATACAGTCAAAATCTCCACAGCTGCTTGTTTCTTTGTCAGATTATCAACTTCATTCTACATTTTGATCTGTTTTTTTTCTGTTCCTGGCAAAAATGGGGCTGCCATAAAGATAAAAAAAGATGCTAAATCTAGCTTACTTTTGCTAAATTTAGCATACTCGTTACTTACGCTGCGTTCCAGAGATGTCGGAAAGTGAGAAATTGTGTTAACATCTTGAGTTAACTTCACTGAAGTTGAATTTGTAGCATAGCATGACCTTACATGCATCATTCTACCAGAGTGCTAACAGTTCAGTTGCTAACTTCCTGTGTGAGTGTTAGCCGTTGGATAGCTAACAGCGGTTAAAGTTAAAGGAAAGCTAATGTTTCACCCACGTTTCTTCTACTTTTTCAAGTTGAAGTGTTTTACTTTCCGACATTTACTGAAACGCAACATGAGAACTGGTTACTGCACAAGACAGTGGAGCCAACATGGCTGCTATGAAAGCAAACACAAAATGCTTTTCAGTTTGGTTCAATCAAAGCCTTTGGCCTCCAGTACACACACACACACACACACACACACACTACAGCCCAGTTTTCTGTCCACAGCATCATTAAAGACATTTCCAAAGAAGGAATCATCCTAAACAAAACTCTTGTCGCTGAAAAGAAACAACACAGGGGTTACACCTGACTTGAACTTTTTTTTTGTTATCTTTTGGGCAAACAATTTGCTTTACAAATGCCTTTTTTTCCCCAGTTCCTGTAACTTTCTCACAGAACTGTAGACGAGTATTTTAAGTACACAATAACACATACTTGTCTGAAAGAAGAACTTGAAGAATAACCCTTACATAACTCTTGTAGCAGACTGGAGGAAGGCAAAGAGTAAAAGAAACTGTTTCCCCCTTTTGTGTGTTTGCTCATTGTGCTTCGTTGTGTTCTGTTCTGCTCTTTGAATCAGCGCTGCTCGGCGCCTTTCCTCTGACAATGTTGAAGAAAAGATATGAAAACACTCTCTTTTGGTTGCAGTATGTATGTGTGCGTATTCAAACAAGCCTCCATATGTTACAGGACACGGCAGCGCTCCGATGCTCTTCCACCGCAGTGACTATTGTAGAAGTCTTCCACCTGTTGTTGAGTTTTATCCTGCAAGCATGTCAAATGTGGGACTTGTACAATAGTTTGTTCTGGTCAGGATTCCTACACGCAACTGGTCCCGAAGTTTGAGACAAAAAAAATCGGTGAAATCTTTCAATTCAGCCGAGACCAGACATAAGATAAAACGTGTAGGAACCCTGAACTGTTTATGTAGAAAAACATTTGGTTTCCCTTCATTAAAGTTTGGCACCAAGCTCATAGTTCTTCCACCGAAGTGGGAGGAAGATGAGCGCAGCGCTGAAGTGCCGAGGGTTTAAATCCAGTCTGTTATCTGTCACAGCATGGCTCACATACTTATATAGAGGCCTACTTATTCTCAATGATAATAATTGCTTATTTGTGTATTAAAACAGTTTATTTTAATTTATATTTGATGGTCTACGTGTTGCAAGGTTTGTTATGTTGTTATTTTCCTCTGTTTGTTACAAACAGAAGACAATGGTTTATCGTTGTTGTCACAGAACATGGTATGAATCGGACACATTTCAGTTAGCCTTCGATTTAAAAAATGAATAAAAAAGTTTTATAAATAGTTTTGTGTCTCTTCTGGTTATTTATTCATTCATTTTGTTGTCTGGGTTTCATTTTGGTGCCAAAATGATAAAAAGTTTTCCAATTTAATTTTTGGATTTATGAACCTCCTTAATCTGCGAACACAGACTGCATCCTGATCTGCAGAGCTTGGATCAGACATAAGGAACAGCCTGTACTTGTGATCTGTGTAATGTAAACCAGCATCCAGCAGGTGGCGCACTTCACTTCTATTTGTGTCCAGTCAGGGCTCCCGTCCTTGAGCTGCAGGGAGCCTGAAGCCTCATGATGTTCAATTTAACATCTCACTCCAGACTTTTCATCAGGTTTCATCACATTTACTCACGTGCTGTAGTACAGTAAGTACAGTAATAAGTACAGTCTTATGGTACTTGTAGTTTTCTTCAGTAGTTTCTGTATTTTTCACTTCTACTCTATTTTCCAACTGTACAG